AATTTTATTAAAATCAAATTTAACAGTCAAGAAGGGATCCCTATTTTTTTTTGAAAAATAGAAATCCATCATGTTAAGTAGTTCTAATATATATATATGTATATATGTATATATGTATGTATTGTGTTAGTTACACTGTTTTGCCAACAACAATTCACACGTAAAGCTGGAAGCAATAGATTATAGATCTCTGACCTAGTTTGGGAGTGAGGTGCTTAAAAAAAAACACCCATGAAAAAAAGCTGTGAGGGTTTTAGGTGTTTGGTAAACTGAAAAAAAAGGGCTTATTTTGGAAGCTGCTGTGAGAATAAGCTGAAATCAAAGGAAAAAGCTGAAGCTGCTATTTGCAGCTTTGGAAAACTGGCTTTTTTTCAAAGCACACGGAGCTATAATGCTTCTTTAATGAAAATACCCACTATTAGACTGCTTTTTTTTTTCCAAAAGCACTTTTACAAAAAAGTTTACCAAACACTCTGCTGATTTATTTCACAGCCGCTTATTCTCACAGCACAGCCGCTTATTCTCACAGCAGCTTTTTTTCAAAGCACAGCAATACCAAACCAGCCCTGTCTGGATGGTCAGTCGTTGAAGTGAATCCGAGAGACAAAAAGCGGGTCATGAACATTTTAATAATTTATTATACACCCAGAGGCTAGACCTAGTTTCATATTAGATACGGGAGCATTATACATATGGTAATATGTAAACTTTTTCATGATGCAATTAAAGCTTATTTTTAGTTACGTCTCTTGAAATTCGATTTTAATTTTATTTTACTTCATATAACTCAAAAGTCATAACTTTACTCTTTAATATTAAAAAATCATTTCATTTTACCTTCTAAAGCTTAACTTTGAACCCAGTTTGCGCCCCCTAAAAATTGATAGTCTACAACTAATTGGTATATACATTTGAGTATCACCTGATAAAAATAAGACAACAATTAATTGGTATATACATTTGGGTATCACCTGCTCAGTATTAATGTGAAAAAAATCTGTATCTTGCTGTCCTAATCATTTATACGAATCAAATGACATGGTCCATAATACGCGTTGGAGGAGGAAAAGTAGGTGGGAACACTGCTAGAGGGAGGAAATTAGGTAAAAGTTTAAAATCTCCTAGTGGAAGACTCCATAACACGCGTAGCCGTTTCCAACTTTAAATATTTCATTTTTTTTTTTTTGAAAACATTAAATATTTCATATTTGGCATCGAAATTATGGCTCCAGGTCCACTGTCCCGGACTCTATGTCTCATTTTTAATTTTTTGAAGTAAATTGTCGATTTACCTCCTGAACCTTCATCTAGCTTTCAATTTCCCTCTTGAACATTTCTATTGGAAAATTAAGGACTCAAACTAATTTTTTTAGCCGATTTGCCCCCTACCGTTAGTTTTTCACATATTTCATCCATATTTCTGTTAAGTGAGACCATGTGCACAACATGTGAGGGCAGTTAAGTCATTTCACTCTTAAAAATGATTAAAAAACTGATAATAAATAAAAAAACAAAACTTTCCTTCTATTTTTTCCTACTAATTCCTATCCTCAATTTTATTTTTCCCTCTCATTCCTATGCATGAGAAATGACATATGGTGTTATTGTCTTCATAAGTAGCTAAGTTAGTCTTTTTCTTGAAGCATGTACTACAAATGTAGCTAAGTTATTGTTGACCCTAAAAACTACCAAGCCTACGTGGCGCGCAGGCCGAGTAATTAATAAGCTAACTACGTCATTCGGTTGTGTGCGGGGGCGTGCCAACTCGACGGCCGAGCTCGGCCGGTGAGTAAAATTTGTTGATGTTGCGTTGGGTGAGCTGCTGACTTCTTGATCTTGCGACTGCGGGTCGAGGAAGGAACACTATCGGCCTTCGGGTTCTATAGCCTGAAGACAAGGCTGCTAGTTCTGCGAAGTTCAATATCTAATTCGGCTTTCAATGTGTCGAATGTAGTAACTTGTAACACCTCACTTCGCCGAGAAGGCTAATGAGATGACCTCTGCCAATAAAGATTCGAAAATCCTTCTCGACCGAGACTTGGATAGATAACCAGTCGGCCTCGACGCAGTGCTGTTTATCCAAACTGAAGGTGCTCTGCGGTCGACTGATTCCACGGCAACAGTGCTGTTTATCCAAACTGAAGATGTTCCCCGGTTGCCTTCACAGTGTTGTTTATCCAAACTGAAGATGTGTTGGCGAAAAAGAAAATAAAAATCTCAAGATGTTTGAGAGGTTTGGCATAGAGCGAGGGTTTGCGCAGGGCAGTTTATGTGTTGAGTTAGAGGTCCCTTTAACGTTGCAACGCACCTTGTATTTATAGCATTCATATCTTCTACTGGGCACGGCCAGATAATTTTGTAGAGTCCAACTACAACTCTAATTCCCGGAACCGAACTTGATCCGCATCAGAAACCAAGGCATATCCTTCAAATTGATCAGTGGGATTCGTCCTTTGACTTTTCACCCATCAGCTAAATAAGCAACAACCTATCTGATGAGCTCCATGGTGCTGGAATCAAGGCATGCAAGTTTATCCATCAGCCATGTATTTCAACATGACTCGGCAATAAAAAGGGCACGGTCTCTAGTAATTTGAATGCAAGTTTTACTCTTGATCTATCCATAGAAACTGTCCTAGTACAATCATGCATTATCAAAGAAAATATCAACTTGATCGCATCTCCCCACCCTCCACGTGTTTACATGTTGACTTACCAACTTAATCTAATCACCATATTCCAAAAAACATCACGTGCAACAACTCCATCCATGAATTCCAAGTCAATTTGACTTGTACCACCCACTCGTTTATCAAAAATAGGACACGTAGGAGATTGCATGCATTTGGGAATTGATACTCAATCGAACTGAAGATGGACCAAATCAACTTTTTCCAAAACAACCAACTGGATATATCAAATATTAGGTTTAAATATCCTAGTTAATATTAAGAGATAATATTATCAAAATATCATTTCTCAATAATAACTAAAAATCATTCCTACCACTTTATCATCCAACGGTCTAATATTTGATCATTCAACGGTCTCGATCGCTTAGGCCGATAGTGTAAAATCGGGTCCAAACAGTTATATACCTTATGGATGGTAAAATCTCTTACGTTTTCCAACTTCTTAAGGATCGTTTTGTGGAATTATATTGAGATTATTATGACATTATGAAAAGTATGTAATTATCTTGAACATTTTTTATGAGTATTATGAACATGTTTCTTATATTAATGTCCTGCTTTTGAGACAATAACACCATGAGCATTTGTCAAATTATTAATTTGTTAGAGAAAATAAAAATGGTAGTACATGCTTCAAGAAAAAGACTAACTTAGCTACTTATGAAAACAATAACACCATATGTCATTTCTCATGCATAGGAATGAAAGGGAAAAATAAAATTGATGATAGGAATTAGCGGGAAAAAAAAGAGGGAAAGTTTTGTTTTTTTATTTATTTTCAATTTTTTAATTATTTTTAAGAATAAAATGACTTAACTACATTCACATGTTGTGCACATGATCTCACTTAACAGAAATATGGATAGAATATATGAAAAACTTATGGTAGAGGCAATCGGCTAAAAAAATTAGTTTGAGTCCTTAATTTTCCAATAGAAAAGTTCAGAGAATAAATTGACAGTTTGCTCTAATTTTTTGACACGGGTCTCTTACTTGACTCAACATCTGACACTGTTAAGTTTTACTAAAACTAATTAATAAATAAATAAAAACTAAAAACCCAGGCATGGAGAGAGCCATTCGGCTCCTCCGCCTCGCCATCGCAAACCCAGCAAAAAGCAAAGTAGAAAAATTCGAAAATCAAGCTGAAGAAGAAGATGACGATGATGGGTGATGGATTGGTGAATAAAGAGACCGGCGAGATCGGTGGTCGGAGCCCACACGTTTCTGCAATTGGGAGCTAAACGGCCGGTGCTATTATTTTTTAGTTTGCTTTTTTTCCAGATCTGGTCAAATCATGATAGCAATGTTATGCAATTTTCAAGAGAGAGATGCACCTGGGAGAGAAACGGTACGGTGAAAAGTTGAACTGCAAGATTTTTGGGTATCTGGAGTTTTGGGGTGGGTCTCGGGAGTTTTCTTATTGAGTGGTGATATTTCCACCCCGATGTCTTATTTCCCCACCCATCATTTAATGAAAATGTTAATAACATATTTATCCTTTTAAAAGAAGACTCTTAAACTCCTATTTCATTCAATACTAAAATTTTGAAAAGATAAAAAATAATTTAAAATAATAAATAAATAATGGTGGGTGGGGTGTGATATCTTTGGGGGAAAGAGGTTTGGAAAGGGTTAGAATCGACCGGAAAGGTTGGTGGAAGGAATGAGCGTGTACTTGACGAAGGCGATAAACTTCAATGGAGAAAAAAAAGAATTGAGTGTGAGATCTGCGGTTTTGACAAAAAATGAGGAAGAAGAGTGGTTTGGGGGTCCAGGGTCTCTGTAGGGCGGCGATAGGTGTGAATGATATGATAAATGTCTAGGTCTTAGGTCTTGCATTTTCTTTCATTTTTTCTATTTTTATTTATTTAATTATAATATTATTTAAAGATATATTAGAGTTATTTAAAAAAAATATTATGGTTATTTTGGGAATAATGGTGGGTGGGGAAATAACATTTTACTTTTTTAATTTTTTATGGTGGGTGAGATTATCATATGGGTGGGAAAATAGGACACTGGGGTGGATCTAGTAGCACTCTTTCTTATTTCTTTGATTTTTTTATAATTTATTTTATAAACAGTATCAGTGTTCTGTGGAGTTAAATTGTAAAACACGTGTCATCAAACTAAACAAAGAGACACCAAGGAGACATGGAATCCGGGAGAAATTTTTTGTTGTGACAAGAATACTGATGTTACATCCCGTGTTTTTATGCTAGTGGTGGAAAATTTTAATTTTTAAGTTATTAATCTTTTAACACAAATAACCTATTATTTATAGAAGTATACGTGGTATACCACCTTGTTTGACAGTAAGTCGAAAATATCTCTCGGAATGAAAATATCTCTCGGAATCCGGGACAACAGACCCACAGCCGAAAATAACACTCATTGAGACATCCCACGTGGAAAAAAGTTGACCGAGATCTGAACTAGTAACAGAGCAAAACTAGCTCATCCCCATTCCCCACAATCCAAACACTTTCATCTTTGAGATTCCTATCCGTCGACGACACAGTTGTGACCATGGCTGAGTTGGTGGGTGGAGCTTTTCTCTCTTCTTTCCTCTCTGTTTTGTTCCACCGGATGGCTTCCCGTCCGGTCCTCGATTTCATCTCTGGGAAGAAAAACAACAACGAGCTGCTAATGAGGGAGTTGAAGATCAAGTTGCTCACTGCTAACAGGCTGGTTGACGATGCCGAGGAGAAGCAGATGACAAGCCCGACTGTGAGGGAGTGGGTCGACGATCTCAAAGATGCTATCTACTGTGTAGGAGAGTTGCTGGACGAGATCAACACTGAAGCTCTTCGACGCCAGCTGGAAGGTGACGATGACCATTCTCCTGCAGCTAGCAGCAGCACAAGCTGGATCTCGAGATCAGTATTCAAGCCTTCTTCTGCGTCCGATGAATTTCACAACTCTCTTGAACCGAAGATATCAAAGGTTCTGCGCGTGTTAGACCTCATTCTCAATGAAAGAGACGCTCTTGGTCTGAAAGAAGGAGTTCAACATAGACCACAAGAAAGAAATCGTCAAACTACTTCACGGGTCGATGAGTCTGGCGTCTTCGGAAGGGAAAAGGACAGAGAAACGATTCTTAAATCATTGCGTTCGAATGATACTGCTGGCGCTAAGATAGCAGTTCTTCCCATCGTGGGCATGGGAGGGATCGGGAAATCCACCCTTGCTCAACTTGTGTACAAACATATCAAGGATGACTTTGATGTCCAAGCATGGGTTTGTGTCGGAGAAGAATTTGGTATTCTTCAAATAGCACAAACAATATATGGGAGAATCATAGCTCAAACTTGCACGATCACAGATCTGGATCTGCTTTCTGAAAAATTGGAGAAGGTTTTGACAGGAAAAAAGTTCCTCTTCGTTCTTGATGATGTTTGGAATGAAGATTATGATGATTGGAATAACTTGATGACTCACTTCAATAGTTGCGGAGGACATGGAAGTAAGATCATTGTCACAACACGCCTCGGACGCGTTGCATCTATCACGGGGACTCTTTCAACACATTATCTACAGATAATATCTGAGGACGATTCTTGGTTGTTATTTGCAAAGCATGCGTTCACAAATGCCAGTGTTGTTGGCGCACATCCGGAGCTTGAAGTCATTGGAAGACAAATTGTTAAGAAGTGTCAAGGCCTTCCCTTAGCTATAAAATCATTAGGGGGTCTATTACACTCTAATTCAAATCCGAAGGAATGGGAAAAGATATTGAAGAGTGACTTATGGAAGTTGTCGAACGATAAGATTTTGCCGGCTTTATGGTTAAGCTACTATTATCTTCCACCACATCTCAAGCGTTGTTTTGCTTATTGTTCGATATTTCCAAAAGGTGACAAATTTACAAAATCAGGGTTGACCTTATTGTGGATGGCCGAAGACCTCATACAATCCAAAGAGGAGGGCGTATTGGATCCGGAAGAAGTTGGAAGTGATTACTTTGACATTCTATTATCAAGGTCTTTCTTTCAACATTCAGGTGAATTATGGGGTGAGTCATATTTCACCATGCATGACCTTATCAATGATTTAGCAAAGTTTGTATCTGGAGAGTTTTGTTTGAGATTGGAGGAAATTCAGCCGCCCAACAAAAATTTATGCAAAACTCGTCACTTTTCATTCATGAAATTTGGAGGTCATGACATTCAGAAATTTGAGGCGCTGGATGAGGCTAAGCACTTGCACACCTTTCTACAACTTGAATACGTACCAGACTGTTGTGGTAATAAGTTGGCATTGGACTACACACTTGTTGATTTATTACCAAATCTACCATATTTAAGAGTGCTCAAGTTATCTGCTATCGGTGAGTTGCCTAGCTCAATTGGCAACTTAAAACAATTAAGGCATTTGGATGTGTGTGAGACTTCAATAAGAGAATTACCTGAGACGGTGTGCACCTTGTACAATTTACAGACCTTGTTATTGTTTGGTTGTCATCGTCTGATTCAACTACCATCCAATTTGAGAAGGCTAATCAACTTGCGCCATCTTGATATCCGTGACACAGAGATTCAAAAGATGCCTGCAGGGATGTGTAATTTGAAAAATCTCCAAACATTAAGCCATTTTGTGGTGGACAAACAAACAGCTCAAAGGATTGGAGAGTTAAAAGAACTTCAGCATTTGCGCGGAACACTTCACATCTTAGGAGTTGGTAACGTTAAGGGGAATGCTTTGGAGGCAGATATCATGAGCAACAAGGAGTATCTGGACCAACTTGTTTTGACATGGGGAAGAGGTTATGATGCTAGTAATCATGATCCAGAAAATGACAGAGAAGTGCTCAACAAGCTCCAACCTCATACAAACCTCAAACAACTTGAGATTATGTCTTACGGGGGTTTAAGATTTCCAGGTTGGTTAGGAGATCCATATTTCTCTAAACTATTTTCTATTCAACTTACAGTTTGCAAACATTGCTGCTTATTGCCACCACTTGGGCAACTACCCTCCCTCAAAGAGCTTCATGTTCGATGGATGAATAACGTGGTTGAGATTGGTAGCGAGTTTTACGGTAATGATACTTGTGGGATTACTCCATTTAGATCTCTACAACAATTGTTCTTCATAGATATGTTGGAGTGCAAAAAGTGGTCATATTACGATGGAAGCAGAAGCAACACCACAATACTGTTTCCTAATCTTCGTGAGCTTGTACTGAGCAGATGTCCCAAGCTAACTGAGATAGTACCGTTGGAGAAGCTGCCAAGGCTTGAAAGCGTACAATTGTGGGACCTGGAATCCTTCAATGGTTCACTTGCACATGTGGAATCTGAATGCCCTAAATTCCTCTCCCTCGTTCACTTGCGAATAGACAACTGCCCAAATTTTGTAAGTTTTCCAGATGGAGGGATGGATGCACCCAAATTGGAGGAGCTGCGTATCTCTCAATGCAAGAAATTGAGGTCGTTGCCAGAACAAATGCATACCCTTCTACCGTCTCTTCAGAAATTGGAAGTGTTCAGCAGTCCAAAAGTGGAATCATTTCCTCATGGAGGGTTGCCGTCAAATTTACAACACCTTCGTCTTGACTGTTGTAGAAAACTCGCTGCAAACTGCTCATTGTGGGGTTTAAAAAGACTCAACTCTCTTAGAGATTTGAAAATCTTTTTCACTGAAGAAGGTGGAGAAGAAATGGGATGTTCGTTTCCGGATGAGGGGCTGCTGCCCACCGCTCTCACTCATCTCGCCATCCGCAATCTTCCCAATCTTACAACCATCCAAGGCAAGGTGTTGAGACAACTCACCTCTCTTGAAGACCTCACAATATACAGATGCCCTGAGCTCCAGTGCTTTCTTGAAGAAGCGCCAAAATCTCTGAAAAGCTTGACTATTTGTGAGTGCCCTAATATCAGGTGCTTGCCAGGAGCATGGCTTCCCACGTCTCTTTCTCGACTGAAAATCTGGAGGTGTCCGCTGCTAGAAGAACGATTCGGAGAGAGACGGGAAGATTGGCCCAAGATTGATCACATCCCCAGAGTGAGTATAACATAGACGTTCTTGAAATTAGGTCTCTCTCTCTCTCTCTCTCTCTCTCTCTCTCTCTCTCTCTCAGGTGTATGTGTGTCTATCCAGCAGCACATGCTCTTGTTGTGCAGTGTTGAATTTGCCACAAACTTGGTAATGAAACAACAAAGGGGTGAGCTGGTATAGCTCTTGTTTTGCGATGGAGTAGGTACTAGGCTAAAACGAGCAAATTTGATTTCGTCAATTTGTCTATTCGAATGTATATGTATCACCTTGCTCATTCTCATAACCTCATTGTATGTATCATGTTGACTTAAATTTGATAGGGCCATCAAGTTCAGCTCCTCCTAACGCCATTAAATTCGTCACTGTTTGATTAATGTCTGGCACTGTCAAGAACAAAAGTGAAGACTTTCCATTCTGCATCGCATGATCCCTCTCAAACTTTAATCATTAGCAGACCCCAATTTCACTCTTAACACAAAGCTTAAATCCAATTACTGCTCAAATAAAACCATATTACCAAAAACTAGAAAGAATCATAAAATCGAAAAAACCCAAAAAATTCAAAGTTTTACGCTTTCAATTTTCGAATAACAAGAACAAGCAGTATAATTTGTCGCGAAGGATGTGTAAAAATCTGGTTTAGACAAATCATCAAACATCTGGTGTGCATCGAGCACCCAGTCTCAGAGAAGGGAAGGAGAGAGAGAGAGAGAGAGAGAGAGAGAGAGAGAGAGAGAGAGAGAGTTACTTGGGGGATCGAGCACCCATCTGGTGTGCCCAACTGTAGCTCCGCCCATCGAATAGTGCAGACATTAACGGCGAAGTCCAACCCTTCGGAGTTGAACCGGGCGCCTTTTGGCACGTCCTTGTGCAGCTGCATAGCTACCTAAACGACACAGCTGCCATTTGTTCCCTCGCTTTGTAGGCTACGTACTGCTGACTGAGGGAAACTGACTTACTGGTTGTCGTTTTAACTTTTTGAGTCGTGACTGATATTAGACGACAAGGTCTCAAAGTTAATAACTTAAAAACGTTTTTTTAGCCAAAATGGTTTCTGAAATTTGCATAATTTCAAACTTTGATTCCTGAGATTTTAAATTAATAGAAGTGGTCCCTGAGATTATTCACCATCCATCATTTTGGTCATTCCGTTAAAAACTCCAATAAATGTCTGGGAGCACTTGATCGAAAGTTTGGGTAATTTTTAAAACTTCGTAACTCAATATTTTCTTAACCAAATTCAACCCATAATATATCAAAATGAACATAGGAAAATGTAGAATAAAATTATAACTATTTGGAAGCCCAATGATTGCCAGAGATGGTCGGAAAATGGCCTCAAAGTTGACTGGTCCGATGGAAAACTGGAAAACTCACCGGAAACTTGATAAACTTTAAACGTTCATAACTTCTTCAATACTCAACAAAATTAAGTGATTCAAAAACAAAAATCATACTTCTCGATGAGACGAAGAGAATGGTATCTTTTTCAATGGCTAACTCTCCGTAGTGTGGCCGGAAAACAGCTCGAAAGTAGCTGTCTTGGTCTTGAGTTAGCCACTTTCGAGTATTTCTTGATTTTGATAAAATTTTGATTTGGATTTTAGGTGTTTCTTGATTTGAGCCATTTCGTTGATTTGATGTTGTTATTGATTGCTCACGACCTGCGGTTGTATGTTTGGTTGCTCGGAAAGTGAAGGAAAATGAAAATTTATTGTTAAATTGTGTGTGTGGTGGGGGAGCTGGATTTCATCTGGGTAGACTATAGAATCGTTACTAATTTCAGATGGCCAAGAAAAAGGGTAAATATTGTTGTAGACATCGAAATTTCGATGAAATAAATGTTGACCAATAGTTACAATTTCAACGCTCACGTGTCACATAAATTTTACACGTAACGTGTGACTAAACGAAAAATCAAAATAAATCAGAAAAGTCATCAAACAGGGCACGTGTCAACACCTGGCAGAAACGATTTATTTCATCTGAATATTATATTCAAAATTAGGCCTTGGAAAATTCTATAAATAGAAGTCATTTCATTCATTTTAAAAGGGAATTCACATATATATTTCTCTACTCCCAAATTGGAAGATAATTCCCTAAATCTTTGAAGCTTTGAAGTTCTAAAACTTTCAAGCATCTAACCTCCTAAATTCCCAAGAAATCCCAAAGGATCAAGAAAGTCTTCTTCGTTCTTCGTCAAATCCTCCTTCAAGACCAGTCCTTCTTCATTCTTCATCAAATCCTCATTCAAGACCAATCCCTGACGGCCCTTGAAGAACTTCCACCAATTCAAGATCAAGCCCCGACGGCCCTTGAAGAAAGTGTTCATCGTTCATCATCCGTTTATCCTAAGATCAAGCCCTAACAGCCATTTGGATCAACATCATCAACAAATCCACACATCCAACTGTTCTTCAAGATCAAGCCCAAAAGTCCCTTGAAGATCCGTTCATCACCGTTATTCAAGATCAAGCCCAAAAGCCCTTGAAGAAATTCGCACAACTGTTCTTCAAGATCAAGCCCAAAAGCCCCTTAAAGATCCGTTCATCAACCATCAAGATCAAGCCCTAACGACCCGTGAAGAAACTTCCAACCGTTCATCCAAGATCAAGCCTCGACGGCCCTTGGATCAATTGCACATCCACAAATCAACACCTTACGAAGATCGAATCAGAGGATCAAATTTGAGAGAGATTGTAACCCCAAAATCATTAATACAAATATTATTTTGTACATATGTTCTTGTCTTGTTTGTTTCAGGAATTTCCGTGTTTATAATTGTATATGATCAGTGTGTCGTTCTGCTTTCTTTGTCATGGAAATTGTTTGCCTCTGAGTGATTAACGAAGTTGGACAATGCAAAATTACAGTTGTTAGATGCTAATTGAAGTATTTGTATGCGGGTGCGCGCGCACGTGTGGGGTTCAGCTGAAGGGGGTATGGACTGTGTTGTATGTTCATGGTGGGTAGACTAGATAGCAAAGCATTTAACTCCTACTTTTCGACTGCCAGGCAGATAAGCTGAATATTGTGTAGGATTAAATGGTTATTTGGTTCCTTTATAGTCGAATCTGTATAATTAAATTACAGTTCTCGTATGTCAATTGAAAGGTTTCTACAAATTTTATCGAATTTTTTAGATGGTACAGTTGTTTTGACCAGATTGAACTCAAGTAAAAACTCAGGGACTCGTTAATACAAGCTGAAATCATAAGTAGATCGACCCAAAGTTGGTCTATTTCTTGAGTGATGGTTATAATACATATTTTGCGAAATTTCACGTGTTAATATATGCATATGCTTTATGTATCATTTTCCCGTGTTGATTTTCATGCTATCAGTGCTTCCCAAAATTGCTTCATATGACAATTTACTCGTACTTGTTTCCTTAGGTCTAGGCATAAGGGATGAGTACACTAGATGCAACCAGAGCCGAACTTGCTCTTGCAGTTCTGTATCTGAACAACTTTCGATACAGATTACTAGGCTAAAACAAGTGTAAATTTGATTTCGTCAATTTGTCTATTCGAATATTTAACCTTGCTCATTGTCATGTATGTATCATGCTGTCTCGATCCAGCCGATTTCATTTCTCTGTTTGATTAATGTCTGGCACCGTGAAGAACAAAAGTGAAGAGTTTCCATTCTGCATTGCATGATCCCTGTCAAACTTTAATGATTAGCAGATCCCAATTTCATTCAAAACACAAAGCTTAAATCCAACTACTACTAAAATAAAACCACATTACCAAAAACTAGAAGGCATCATAAAATCGAAAAAACCCAAGAAATTCGAAGTTTTGCTCTTTCAACTTACAAAAAACAAGAACAAGCAGTATACTTTGTCGTGTGTAAAGATCTGGTTTAGACAAATCATCTAACATCTGGTGTGCATCGAGCACCCAGTCTCAGAGAAAGGAGAAAGACATAGTTTACTTGGGGGATTGTACGAGGGAAAACTTGAGTGGGCCGAACTGTAGCTCCGCCCATCGAATAGTGCAGACATTAACGGTGAAGTCCAACCCTTCGGTGTTGAACCGGGAGGCTTTTGGCACTTCCTTGTGCAGCTGCAGAAGCCACCTAAACGACTCCGCTGCCATTGTTTCCCTCGCTTTCTAGGCTATGTACTTCTGGCTGAAGGAAACTGACTTACTGGTTGTCGTTTTAACTGTGAGTCGTGACTGATATTAGACGACATGTCGTTTTGAGGGTCTCCAAGTTAAATTGGGGGATTAGCTTATGATGCATGGGCCCGGATATATAAACTCAGCTTATATTCGTCTCACCTCTAAACTATGGTGATAATTCTTGTTATACAGAAAGATTTCTTATCCGGACATAAATGTTAAAATTTCATTCGAGGTCGTCATTCAGTTTGTTACATTTTAGGATGAAAGTTGCGCTTTAGCTTCGCTTGACTCCTATTTTCATAATTTTTTTTCTTTTTTAATTTTTGACCTAATCTTAGACATGATTGCTTCTTTTAGGGTATTAAGACATTCTACAAGCTTAAGTTTTATGATTGAACTCTCAGAGTGTTTGGTGACGGAAATCTAAAACCTAAGTGAGAAATTTGTGTTGATCAACTAGAAAGATAGACCATGTGACAAAATTGATGTCAGCACGAAAAATCAGACGTTAAAGTCCGAATAAGAGGCAAACTGCTTCGTTGTACATATTGTTTAACTAGAAATGTAATTTCTAATTGTAACTTGTGTAGGATTATTGCATATATTATAGAAATGTAATTTCTAATTGTAACTTGTGTAGGATTCCTATCTAAATAGGAATTGATATTGTGAAAACTACCAAGCTGGAATATGGTAGGAGCAGAGAAAATTTTTGGTGAAGCGGTGAAATGCGTAAGATCAAAAAGTACTCTATATATTATAGTGATTTATATAAATTAATACAAAGAATCATATTTCTACGCATATTAAACAGTTGCCTCTATTTGTTTTGTCATCTCCACTCTATTTTGAAGTTGTTACAATATTTTAAATCCTTTATAGGGTAGGAAATATGAGAGCGTCACGGAAATGGACAAGTTGGGGTTAAGATTGGGAAGCCGGGTGAGATTAGACATGATTCTACTACTGTGAATTATATACCTATCATAAAAATTCCAACATGAGTTTTGCAAATTTAATATTGGATCCTTCCTTATTACTTGTTCTGTATTCTCCTACTCTGTACAGTAATAATGCAAAAGCATACGCAGCAGCTTTCACTTTGAAAAGCCGATATTTGAGTAAAAACAACCAAACTGTAAACTTCATGTTATTTGGCTACAAAAGAGGATAATCCTCTGGCCAAATTTAACATCGAAAGTAAACTAGCTGCAACCTACTCTAAAGACACAAAGTTATTGCTAAGCGCTTCATCATCATCGTCATTAACTTTTGCTACTCGCTCTTCAAACTGTATAATGTTGTTGAATTGTATCGATGTCTAGCCCTTTGAGCTTCACAACTGATTCAACATGGCCCTTCAGAGTAGTCAACTCACGAAGCCTGCAACCAAAACGAAAGGCTCTTTTAGAACTCAATTCTCACGTGGAACAAGTCCAACCAGCAAAGGAAAACAATGCGAGATGAAGAATTTTCCCGGAAACAAGAAACAGAACCGGCAGACACCATTATTGAGACAAGCATGTTTCTTTATCTATGTATGAGTGCAATTGGTCCTTACCTTGCAACCTCAGCCCTCCGCTTGGCTTGTTCTGCAATCTCGGAAAGCTCCCTGTAACTGTTCCTCTCATTGAAAAGGTTGTTTGTTTCAGGTGGCTGAAGACCATGAAGGGTCCTCTGTGCTGCAGCCCACTGTGCTTCTCTCTCCTCTTTTCCATAATCTTTCTTTGTAGTGAAGGCAGTCTGGTGGGAAGACACAATAAGGAAAATTGTGGCAAGAAACATGCATCTAACATATAATGTCGAGTAGTGCTTACAATGTAGCGGAATGCAACATACCTTGTTCTCCAAAAGATTATTCCACGCTTTTCCACTTTGAATGTATCGGATTGCGAATTTAAGAAAGTCAAGAGGGACATATGTCACTATACTGTAAAGCCAGATGACACCAGCCCACCCCCAGCCAGCTCCCTTTATCCGTGCAAAACCCCAGTTTGCATAGACTGCTATGAGAGTCGCAACCTGCCATTTTCTATTTTGTCATACGCATACCAGAGCAACCAATTGAAACATCAAACAGGTTTTTAAGATTAATAGCCTTACTTTGAAAATGTACAAATTTTTTAGATTAATAGCCTTAACATTATTGGAAATTACTACAAATTATAAAACTTCAACACATCCAGTAGAGCAATTAGGTAAAATTATAATGGTACTCAGTTGGCAAAAATGCTTACCAGTTGAGCAATCATGAAAGCTCCAAGTAAGAGAAGTCCAGGGCGTTCAACAAAAGACCAGCTACGTGACCTTGTGACGAAAATAAGGGCTTGGCTCACAATACTCACTTGTAAGTACAACGCCGCCATCATTTGCTCAGGCCTATCCCTCAAAGATCTCACATGAAACTTTTCCTGCATTACGAGAATAACTAAATAAAATCAGAAGAATGAACATACTTGCCAAAATAACTGTGACCTAAATAGCTTATATATTAATGGAAAACGAAGAACTATATATTCCTACCGAGAAGAAGTCGGTATCATTCATAAGCCAGAAGAACACTACTGTCATTAGTGCCAAGTAACCTCCAAGGACAATGCCAGTAGCAAAGATCTCCTTCAGTTTCCAGCTGTCTGGTTGTGGAGATGGCTTCACTCGATCCTTTGAGATTGTCATGATAGTTCCTAGCAGATTCGTAAAAACAAAGTCAGACTCATTTAAAACTATGGTGTTCTAATGGTAACTGATACAAACAGATAGGCGGATAATCTTACCGTCATTTAGGATGGCGATGATCAATACCATGAAGGGTGCAAAGTCAAACTTCCATATCAAAGCAATTAACATAAATCCAAACTGCACATAACTTAGCAACATGAGAACAAACCACAACCAAAAATAGGAAAACTCTAAAATCTAAATACCGATCATTGCTTCACTTACCACTATACGTATGGTAATTGAAACAGCATAGATCTGCAAATAGAAAAAAAGAATTAGAATGGCCTGAGAAGATTAACAAAACATCTATGGACCATCTACAGCTCCACTCAATGAACATAAATGTAACTTACAGTATAGTTCTTCATCCTCTGGAATATGGCTCTGCTTGTCAGTACTGCACTTATGATCACACTTAGCCCTGGTTCAGTGAGAACAATATCTGAAGCACCTCTTGCAGCATCAGTAGCATCAGCTACGGCAATACCAATATCTGCTTTTTTCAAAGCAGGAGCGTCATTGACACCATCTCCAGTCATTCCACAGATGTGCTTCCTCTCTTGCAGCCTCTTTACAATTTCATATTTGTGTTCTATAATATTAAAAAGACGTGTTAGATCAATGGTCAATGACTCAATATCAAGTTAACAGCATTCATAAACCGTGCACATTTAATTAATAATGAAACAAAAAAATCAAAATAAAAAATGGACAATTGTGAAAGTGTCGCCAAACAAGTAGGCAGAGCAACATGTCCAATAACTTTCATGCTATGAGCAATCATGAGTCTAGACTGAATTTAAACCAATAACAATGGATTAGGAAATGCAAACTACTACCAAGAAATGTGAGGTTTATGACTTCTCATTAAAGAGACTGCATGTTTAATTAGAAAGCAAAAAGAACACAGAAACTCTGGTAGAACCCACCAGGAAATACTCCAGCAAATCCATCAGCCTTCTCAATCAACTCGTCCACAGGGAGGGAAGCTATGGCCGCATCCTTGTCTTGGCCAAGCAATGCGGAAGATGGGTACATGTTTGTTCCCATACCAAGCCTCCTTCCAGTTTCCTTGCCAATGGCAAGCTGATCCCCTACACAATAGGAACACAAATTATACTGAATGAGTAAAGCATCGAAATTCCCCAAGCAGGAGAAAAATAGGAGGGACTATATGTAGCCATGGTGTAATACACAATTTTTAAGGGGAAATGAAGCTTACCTGTAATCATCTTCACATTCACACCGAGATTGAGAGCCCTGCGAATTGTTTCTGCACTGTCATGCCTGGGAGGATCAAATAACGGCAATAAACCAACGAACTGCCATGGTGTCCCAGGACTCTCTTTTGTTTTCTCTGGTACTTGCTGGAGATAAATCAATGACAGAAATATCAGAAATTCAGTTGACACTGCAATAAGCATATGATAAAGGTTTTTCTTTCAAACCTGTCTTGCAACACCCAGAGAACGAAGTCCACGTTCAGCAAACTTATCAATCACCCCATGCACCTTTTTCTTGAAATCTTCCTTGCAGTTGCATAGGGTTAATATCTGAGGATAAGAAATATATGCATTTGTTATGTCCAGAGAGGGATATTTCTTCCCCAAATCAATGGCTAGAATTGACTTCAGACTAGATTACCTGCTCAGGGGCACCTTTACTAGCGCGATGCCAATTTCCATCAGAATCGATGTAGGTAAGAGCAGTCCTCTTGTCTACAGGGTTGAAAGGTAGGAAATGGACTTCTCTTATACCAGCTCGTGCCTGCCCAAATTATTATACGACACAGAGAATTAGAATTATAAAAGCTTGGACCACAAAGCAATGATAAAGAAAAGAAAAGCAAGAGACCAATTACCTCCTTAGGATCAGCAAGCATTCCTACAATTGCAGCATCAATAGCATCCTGATTTTCAGTCCTAGAAGCCCTTGCTGCAAGAAGCATAACATGCTCTTTCTCCACACCCTTGGCAAACACTTCAATCAGATTTCTATCAACTGAGAGCTTGTTCAGGGTCAAAGTCCCAGTCTTATCACTGCAGAGGACGTCCATGCCAGCCATTTCCTCAATGGCAGTCATTCTCTTGGTGATAGCTCCTTGCTGTGAAAGCCTGTGGGAGCCAATAGCCATGGTGACTGATAAAACAGTTGGCATGGCAATTGGGATTCCTCCAATCAAGAGAACCAGCAAATTATCAATCCCTTGCCTGTACTTGCGCTTCTGTATTGGGTACATTACTATTATCTCAATTAGTATCCCCACAGCAATTGAACAAATGCAGAAGTTCCCGATGGCAGTGAGAACTTTCTGGAAGTGCCCAACTTGATTGGTGTTGTCCACCAGATGTGCAGCCTTGCCAAAGAAGGTGTGCACACCAGTAGCGATAACAACTGCTTCAATTTCACCCTGTTTACATGTTGAGCCAGAAAACACTTCATCCGAAGGATTCTTAGTAACAGGAAGGGACTCCCCAGTAAGGGCAGATTGATCAATTTTCAAAGGATCACCCTCGAGAAGGCGGGCATCAGCAGGAACAATATCTCCCAATTTGATACTGATTATGTCTCCAGGCACCAAAATTGAAGCATCTTGCTCAGTCCATCGACCATCTCTAAGAACCTACATCAGGTAACCATAAAAAATCAAGAAATATTCAAGAGAATATTTGCAGCACCAATATAAGCATTGTTCAACAATTTTATTTCTTCACCTTAGTCTTGGGAGCTAGACCGGCCATAAGGGCTGCAGCAGCATTACCAGCATTGTTTTCTTCGATGAAACTGATAGTAGAGTTAATGACCAGAAGAACAACAATGCCAACAAAGTCCTGCCAATCAGGAGGCTTTCCACCACCATTTGCCAAGGCAATAGCCATCAGAGCAGCAGCTTCCATGACCCATGACAAAGGATTCCACATAAATCCCAAGAACTTGAGCAGTTTGCTCTCCTGTTTACAGAAGACGAAATCATCATCAAGTCACACCAAAAAAAAAAAAAACATCTGAGGAGGAACAAAAGATTTCAATATGTCCGAAATTATAACAAACCTTTTTCTCTTCTAGTTTGTTTGGTCCAAAGACTTGAAGCCTGCTGGCTCCTTCTTCTCCAGTCAGACCTTCTTTTGTACATTTCAGCTGCTCAAAGACTTCCTCTACCGGAATCCGTTCCTGTGAACAAAAATGAACAAATACACATGAACGAACAGTTTCACTTCTTAGGGGTAGTTGCATGCAACCAACTGTTTTCTGCAATACGAAATTCAAACAATACCTATTTTCTTTACACAAAACTTTCAGATGATTCCTATAATAGAAACATTTCCGTTTCAATATTATTCTGAATCGTTTTTATGCAGCACCGATATATGCTGTTTGACATTTTGTAAAGCCCAACCCGACGTGATATTTAAATTGCATTTGTCATGATTAAGTTCAAGTTCGGTGCTACACGCATACAATTATTTCAAACTAAAAACTTATTGAAACAATTCACCACTGCACCATAGTTTATTTGTAATTAGCAAACAAACAGTTCATGATATTTTACGATTTTTCTTCGGAAAACCAAAATCCTCCAACAGCTAGGATTCACAGATTAACGATCAATAGAATCACGAAATACATGTGTTAACAGAAGACAATTGATTTCATGGACGAAAAGTCAAACATTGCAGTCTCCCTTATTGACTTCAAGACATAGTGAAATAAAATAATTAAATACTTAAAAATGATATTTCAACTGCTTACCAACACACTTTTGACCTTATCTAGCTTTAAACCAAACAAGACCATGGGATAAGTGACAATCATAAATATCAACAACACACTTTATTTAGTCTATACGCGCCTATATTTAAGGATAATACATGTTATTTAATTTTTTTGGATTTAAAAAGTAAGTAATACAATAACATTTTTTATTGAGCCAAATCAAAAAATGAATACATAAAGTAGACATTTAAATATTATCCCTATACTTAATCATGTAGCTTGTTTTTTTTTTTTTCTATCAGGAGAAAAATAAGGTGAGATTATCATTTACTAAACAATTTAGGTATTCAATAGAAATTTAATGTTTGACCAAATATAAAAAAATTAAAGAAATATATAAATGAAAGATCCAAGCATATATGTAGTACAAGGAAGGGACTTAAAACGCCCAAATCCCAAAACAAGAAAGCTAATAAAATACAACCGTATACAATAAAATAAATAAAATCATCAACACAGGTCGTCAGATAGAATAATTCAATCAATAAATTAATTTCCAAATAAAAAAGATATTCTTTTCTTTTATATAAAACCACTTAAGAATCGCCCAATAACAGGGTGCGTGACGACCACGCGTCCAATTGGGCGCGTGAGGGTAAACTAATATTCGGTTGTCAGCCATGTTCTCTGGTAAAGCAGCGTTGCGTTTGTCAAGCCGCTGATTTCATGTGATTTCGGAAAGGCACAGACCATACAAATTTTTTTAAAACATTTTCCGAAAACAAAAACAAAACTGCAATCTTTTTTTTAGATAAAAAGTGCCTGAAGCAGAAGCGATGGTAGGGAAGCTGGGCCGTTCGTTCTGGGATCTGGGCCTACCAGAAGCCGAGTACAAACGGCCCCAACGATTCGGATGGCCTGAAAAAGGTTTTCATGTGTCGGCTCTCTATGATGATCGCCGAAATGACAGACTCAAAAAAAGGGAAAAGTCCCGCCGCCGATTAACCACGAAAAAAAAAAAGATGATTTATTAGTTTTTATTTTTTTTATTTTATTTTTGAAGAATCGCAACGAAGAAGCGAAATCTCCTGCTTAAAATATCAACAACCGTTTGGTAGGTGGGAAAATTAGCGAAAATAATAAAATAAAAGTAGAGCACCGAGAAAAAAATTAAGAAAAAGCAACAAATTAATTGTAAATTAATTTTTTTCGCGAAAGAAAAATAATTAAAAAAAATCTTCAAAGTGAGTGAGATGAACTGACGATACTGATACAGAAATCTCTAATATTTCAAGTAGATCACTTTTTGTTTGAGTAATTTTTCTCGGAAACCCTTTTTGGTCATTTTTTCCCGGAAACCAAACACATGCAGCAGAGTTCAACAGAGAAAAGGAGAGCATATAGATATATGTATATACCAGATCGACGGACTCGTTTTTTATCTCTTCGAGGCTGATGGCCTTATCGCCGGCCATGGTGGAGGAGTAGCGGGGGAGCTCGGAGGAGCTCAGAGCTGCAGACAGAGAGGGCTTGATTAGTTTTTGAGCAAAAAATTGGAGAAAGGACGGGGACTATATATAGTGAAAAAATAAAGACCTAGAATCTAGAGAGAGAGAGCCATAGTGAGAGAAGACGAACGATCACCCACCATGAAAAGTCTACAGAGGATGAAGGATTGTGGGAATCGGGTTTTCGGGTATCGGAGCCTCCCGGGTCGGGTGAAACGGTGGAAGTGAAAGAATGAATGAAGGAGGAAAGAGTCGACACTGGTTTGATTTATATACACCTGACTTTGGGAGGGGGTGAGGGCCCACTTGGGGCCCAAATGCAAGCGTTTTTGACCTGCCACCCTTTTGCGCAATGCGGCGCGTGGAAGTGGTGGGAATCAGTGACGGTCATTTTCTCTGTTTTACTTTGCAGGAAAATTTTAAAATATCTTATATATTCATACACATTTTTTAATTTGTCCTATAAACTAAATATGCGATTTTTTATATTAACTTTTAATTTGTCATGTCTTTATTTTAAAAATAATTCGTGAGCCTTTACACATGACTTATGTTTAGAATTATTTAGGACATTTCAAAATCTCCGAAAATCTATAGTTTTACAAACTATAAAAAGTGAAAATGATTACAATAAAATATTAATTTTTATTCTAAAATGAAAATAGTATAATCCTGATCGAATTTCTCTTTAACATCATAGTCCTCGGAACATATATCGCATGCTCTTGAAATATAGTTGTCCTCTAAAATAATGATATATACTAAACTTATAGTGCTTTTACTAATTTATTGTTTTGACAAAGAATGAAATGAAAATAATGTGAAACATCTGAAATAACCCTAAACACAAGTCATGTGCACGAATTTTAGATGAAAAACTTAACAGTTTAAGATGAGATGACAAAGTAATGATTTTGGAAAGATGATATAACAAATTGTTTAAAATTTTAGTTCAAATGATAAATTGAAAAAATGTGTATAGGTCCTTAAAAAACATTCCCCTTTTTTTTTAGTGAAGGATTGAGACATGGAACTATTTCGGACGAATTGGATTTGCGCAAGTGATATTCTGATTTTAGGAGAAATAAAGGATTTGGCTACAATACTAACATGTATTTGATACAATCACCATCTCGACGGTCAAATTGTGATTTATCATATACATATACAGATAAATTATCTCTGACTGTCCGATGATGATTGTATTAAACACAACATGTAAATTTATTACTTTTAATATGCAAGTTTACTATTAACTAGCCTATACATTAATATCTTCAAATAAGGGCATTAAGTGAGAGGTCTTAGATTCGATTCTCGCCGAAGGCGAATTTGAACCACATTATTGCTAACTCATTATAAGACTAAGTCCACCCCCTCTCCTTAGTAAATATAATATCGATTGTTAAAAAAAAAATATATACACACACACACACACACACACACACACTTGTTTTCATTCCGATTAACATCTAATTAGATAAATTTATTAATTGATGTAGCACATAAACAACACTTCTCACATCAGATGAATGGTACACAAATGTGGTACAAAAATATAGTATTCTTAGCATTTTTATTAAGAATTTAATTTCTTCATATAATGCCAAATATTCATTTAAAGGCTTCCAACTGACGATATTTCTCTTACTTTTATGAGGGGAAGAATCTAAATATGAATTTAATCGTTTTGTTCTCTACCTCTTTAAAATATGATGCTCGAACATGTACTTGTTTTGAGTGTCTACTTACTTTCTATCGGTATCTATGGATTAATTAAGCGGGAATATGGTTAGAGCTGTGTCTTGAACTTATACTGAATGCAGTTAATATAAATTTTGTAACCTTTTCTGTTTAATCATTTTGTTCTTTTCCTCTTTAAAATATGCAAATTCATTGTACAATAACTTCTCGCATGATTTTTGTTACAAACTCAAATTATTGGTTCGTTTAGGAAGTGCTTTTAAAATGTTTTAAAAACAAATTCTTAGTAAAAATACAAATGTCGTATACAATCAACATCTAATTAGATAAATTCATTAATTGACGTGATATGGACACATCACTTATCACGTCATATGGTACATAATATGGTACAAAAAATGATCTTCCTAACATTTTTTTTTTAAGAATTTAATTTCTTCATATAATGCCCAAAATACATTTATAGGTTTCCAACTGACGATATTTTTCTTATTTTTAAGATGGGAAGAATCCAAATATGATCTTATCGTTTTGTTCTCTACCTCTTTGAAAAATGCAAATTCATTGTACAATTATTTCTCGCATGAATGTTGTTACAACCATGAAAGTGTGTTTGGAACTACTTTTCAAATGATTGAAAACACTTTAAATGAAAATGCTTTTGGAATCAATCATTAGTCAAAATACAAGTGAATTCTAAAAAAGCATTTCAAGTGCAACCTGCAATGAAGCACATAACTAGTGTTTTTAAAACCTAAAAACATTTTCACCAAAACATTTTCAGTTATTTTACAAGTAATTTCAAACAAACTCTCAAATTATTGGCTCATTTGGAAAGTGCTTTTAAAATATTTTTTAAACAAATTATTAGTAAAAATACAAGTTAATCATAGAAAATCACTTAAAGTGCTTCCTATAAGAAACACCTGGAACCCAAAACATTTTCTCTAAAAAATACTTCCAGTCATTTAAAAACACCTCTCAAACACACCCTATAACATAAAACATAATTTATCAATAGGAGACGAGGATTTGAACTTAAAACAAGAAGAACTAGTGGTTTTTAATACTCAAATATAGTACATGTTTACACATTTTCACTACTTAATCATAAAACAAAAAAGGGTTTTTGAGTTCTTCCCCATACATTTGGTAGAACTTTTTTTTTTTTTTTTTTTTTGTCATTAGTTAAATTTGAGGGTGGGGAGAATCGAACTTGAGTGAGGTGGGAGTTTTCTTGGCTCTAGTGCCACTGCAACTAGGCCCCCATCCTCATTTGGTAGAAATGATGCTCAAGTTAATTTGCAAAAATAATGCCAACATGTTGAAGGTTTTCCATCATGTCAACTTACAATGCTCCTTACAAGCTTCGCTGAGATTACTGCATGGCATTTCGATGCCGAAATTAGCCAAGCAAAAACATGTCCCGTTTTTGTCTTCTGGTTTTTTCAACAACAAAAGCTTTGCATTCGCAACTTTTTATTTTAAATATTCGTATGAGCTAAAAAACAGTAACATTCTTTTCTCTCTTTTTTTTTTTTTTTTTTTTTTTTTTGGTCAGTAACATTCTTTTCTCTCACGACCTTATTGTACTCTTATCTTCGGCTTTGGATTATGATCACGTGACATAATTAACATTATGCGGTTTCTGTCTATGTTATTATGCATGATTGAATTATTAATACTATATACTTTAAAGTACTATCTATAAAATTGTAATTTGTTCACATTATAACAAAGGCCGTTCCTAAAATTTTTGGGGTCATGTACGAGATTCAAACCGAGGCTTTTATAAGGTCTACAATTTTAGTTTCTATCTTTTCTATTATGTTTTATCTTTATTTGATTATGTATAAATTGATATAATGCAAACAAACAAAAAATGCAGCGTGGTGTGGTGCTAAGTACCTAGCTATCTACGGAAATGGATTATCTCTGGATCCCTTCCTCCTAAACCATCAAGTCTGGAGATCCAAATCATTGAAATTTGATCCAACTGCTACAAACAGGGGCCCACTTTAAAAGTTATAATAACTTTAGCTATTGGATCAAATTTCAATGGTCCAGATCCCCAAACTTGGTGAATTAGGAGGAAGGGATAGGGAGAGGATCCCTTTCCACTATCTACATCTCCTATGCTTTTAGGTTCAAAACTCTTTAATTTTAAATACAAAAAAATAAAAACATGAAAAAATGTGCTGCAAGAGGTATTTGAATTCAGTTGAGAGAGATTCAGTGTGCCCGGTCTAGTACATCAAGTGTCATAATACAAGTGGTTGAAATTCTTTTTCAAGTATCCAACCACTTATATTATAACTTATGGTGTACAGGACCGTGTTTCTAGCACATGAAAAATTTATCCTCAGTTAGAGCTACAAAAATAAGAAGCACGAAAACAATTACACTAAGAACTTAATTTGGTTGATTGGTGGAACTTTATATATACTTTATACACAAATAAAATAGAATTGTAAATTGGGGCCGTAATAAAGGTCCTGTGCACTTTCAGAACCGGCTTTGATTATAATGCATAATGGACTGTATAATCAAATAACATAAAATAATTTTTCATTTATAGGTCATACAATGTTTTTATAAATTTCTATACAATAATTTGATATAGAATTTGGTCTTTCATTCAGAAATTGACTAAAACCGCATCATCATCCTTTCGTGCGGCTCTAGTGTTCCACTATTGAAGGTGCAGCTTCTTAGCGTTAGGTGAGACACTTATCAGAAAACTCTTATGCAATTTATTTTTATTTTAAATAATTTTATGAGATAAGCTATACAAATTAACCTACATAAATAACATGATTTTTGTTAACCTGCATACCTGCAATTGCTAGAAAACTACGACATATATGGATCCAAGTGTATTATCTTTGCACCTTATTGTATTGAATAATTATAAACCAAGCGGAGTAGAGATCTTATTCCAATCATGTTAAGACACTTCTGAACTTTTTATTTTCTTTGCTTACTAAAAAAGAATTCAGGTATTTTCGCATTCTTATTTTTTCTATATCCATTGCTTCTGTGATTCATCCTTCCTCGGATTCTTTCAATTATTGAAGCTTAGAAATAAGAGGCGAGTGCACATGGAGGAAACAGAAAGCGTAACAATTGACACCCATATTTTTTTCTTTCTATTATGCAACTCTCTTGTAAGTAGTGGATAGTCTTCGTTTATAGAGCTTTCTTCTCCATCTCATTTGCGTCTCAAGTATAAATTCTCAACCCTCCCTCAGTGTAGCTTATAAAATATCATCATGGTGATTAATGTATGAAATTGAAATATTTTAAAGATAATCACCAGCTGGTAGCCCAGTGGTAAATAGCGTATTGCGAGGCTTCCTTCAAATTAAAAACTAAAAGTGTTGGGTTCGAAACCCACTACTGGTGTGGAAGCCAGACTTATGGTCAGAGGGAGGTTGAAATACCTTTGTGAGTCTTTCTGGCCTCTGGAACGGATGAATAACCATGACTTGCCATCAGTTGTCCTCCTTTAAAAAAAAAATATATATATATATAATTATTTTTTATTTTTAAAGATGTTGGATGATGTTATAAAAGTTCTTTCAGAAACAAATAAACATCTATAATTTAGTCACTAACGCATGCAAGAAGTGTAGGAAGTGACGGTGGCCGACAATTTTCAGAAACGTTCTTTTCTTTTCCTGTTCACCTTCACCGGAGAGAGAGAGAGAGTTTCTTTACACTATTATTAGGGGTGTGATATTCACATACATCTTTTTACTTCTCATACATCTTTCTAATTTTCAGCGGTCGGATCGGGTGAATTGAATAAGATCAAAGAACAAAAATTAATAAGGTGTGTGTGAGAAGTAAAAAATAGTGTGTGGATAGCACACCCTTATTATTATTCTCTCCAAGAAGATGGTGGCATGTGTTAAATTCGAAGAATAATATTTAACATATATTATTTGAAGAACAATACTAGTTGATACGTGTAAACATCTTTTGACATATACTAATGTAAGCGAAAGATACTTTAAACTATAAAAATATCACCACCTATCACTATGTATATGTTAAAATATTAATCAGTGTTATAATATACTTATTTGTATACATGTAAGTGTTACAGCTACATGTATATTATATCACGTATACTAATTTGGAATTTATATTATATACATATAAGTATAATTTAAAATTAAAAAATCCAAAGTGCAAGTACCAAATTCAGGTAGTAATTGGGCAATTTACTCTTATTTTCTTTGTCATAAAATATTTTTAAAAACAGCTATGCAACCATAGGATTAGACCATAAAGCCTTGTTTAGTGAATTAAATGAGATATGTTGTGATCAATTAAAATGAACTTAAGTCAAGATTTTTGTTTGTTATGTTAAATATAAGATGAATAAGACTTGACATAATAAGTTATAAATTTACAATAAAATAAATTATAAGTCCCCGTTTTACAAATTTTTGCTAATCCAATTTTATCCTAAAGACCCCATCCCTGCGTATAATAGGGCTGCACATAGCTGAGTAGAATAGGAACTGCACAGCAAAATGTTAGACTCAAACTGGATCGTGATGACAACGCGCCCAACCTGCACGCGTGGGTGACATAATCCTGCGCATAACAGAAATCTCTTTGTGTCAGTCAATTAACCCTCGAATCCTGCCTTCTTAAGGGGATTACGTGTGAAACAGTCGTTGCTCAAGGCAGGAAGCTTCCGTGCCCTCGCGGTCCCCCGACGACAATCACATCAGATTTTTCATGTGTTCCAAACCAGAGTTCAAATGTACTGCACCCAGACCTCTCTAAAACTCTTTGCAACTTCTCTGTAACTTATTAGCTCATTTGTTAACGTCTTAACATTCATTTAAATTTTACTTAATAATGTTATTTCTTTAACTTATCTTTTCAATAAAAAAAATTATAAATTAAAGATGAGTTAAATTAAAGGAACACATGTCACTCAAGTATATATGTCATAGAGAGGCCAATTTAGAATTTTGAGTGCAGAAGATTTGCACTCTCCAAACCATGCATTTTGAAGCTATTGGCTTATTTTCTATATAAAAATTAGGATAGAAAATCAGTTATTTGAGCTATTATGATTTTATTTTATTTTTAAGACGAAAAAATAATTTACATTAAATATTTTATTTATTGAGAGAAGATCACATTGTTATAACCAAAGTAACTTTTATTTTTTATTCCAAGGGAAATATTTTTGCTGCATTCTGGTCTCTCTCTTATTTGGGCCTCGGGTGTCCGATGATCGGCTATTTGTCTTCGTTTGATTGTCTCAATACATTTAATATTTGTACTTATAATGTAAAATAGTTGCGCAACAGCTAATAATCTTTTTGTATAGTTTTTGTTAAAAAAAATAATAATGTCTTTGTATGGTTTTAGTTAATAATCTTCATCTTATACAAGTTTTAGTAAATGTTAAAATGCATGAAATAAACATGTTGGAATAATGGTGTTGGATGACTAGTGAAATTAGGCTAGTCAACTTTCTTGTTCAAAGTTAGGCAAGTTAGGTTTCTTGTTCAAAGTTAGGCAAGTTAGGTTAATCAAGCAAATATACATCAAAATTCAATTTGGTATCAGAGCTGTGATCTGGGAAAAACCACAAAACACAGCTCTAAAGCAGCCACGAGGTCAACCATTCTAGGCATGGCCTCTCATTCAAAATGGGAAAATCCCAACCACCCGCTCTATCTCCACCACTCGGATCAACCTGGTGCAATCCTCGTACCACAACCATTGGTGGAAGACAACTACAACACATGGGTTCAATCCATGAGTATGGCCTTAACGGTCAAGAACAAACTTGGTTTTGTTGATGGGACGATCAACAAACCAAGTAAGGATAATTTTGAGGAGCTGCAGCAATGGAATCGCTGCAACAACTTGGTCAAGACATGGCTACTAGGCTCCATGTCAAAGGAGATTTCAGGGAGTGTCATCAACTACAAGGATGCTCGACAAATGTGGACCGATCTGCAGGAGAGGTTCTCACATGTGAATGTAGTTCAGCTGTTCCATGTTGAGAATGAGATCCATGATTGCGTCCAAAGCAATATGAGTGTAAGTTCTTACTTCACTAAACTTAAAAGTTTATGGGATGAACGTGATACTTTGTGTTCCATTCCAGCATGCAGTTGTGGAACAAAGAATGAGATGAACTCATATGTTGAAACTCAGAAAACCATGAAGTTCCTTATGGGACTGAACGAATCGTATGCTACGGTTTGAAGCAATACTCTTCTTCTCGAACCACTGCCTACGGTGAACAAGGCATATGCGTTGGTCCTTCGACATGAACGCCAGGCAGAGGTTTCCAATGGGAAAATCACACAACTAGAAACTGTTGTCTTTGCAGTGAAGAATCTCTCGCGAGAACCTACACCTGAAGACAAGGAGATGCGATGTGGAAAGTGCAATAAAACCAATCACATCACCAAAAATTGTCGTGCACATCTCAAGTGCACTTTTTGCGGATGGAAAGGCCACACCTTCGATTTCTGTCGAAAACGGAAAGCAGCCACAGAGACCGAATCCAATCGTCTCTTTTCTTCAAAGGGGAATCAAGTTTCACAAAGTAACAAGCAAGAGACAGTGCCTAATTTCCCGTTCTCTCAGGAGGACTGCAAGCAAATCCTTCAGATGTTGAACAAGAACAAATCATCATTTGCCAATCAAGTCAGTAATCCTCATAGTCATGAAAAACTTTCAGGTAAAGCCTTCTCTTTTTCATATAAAGGAACCAAAAGCATTTGGATCCTGGACAGTGGTGCCACGGATCACATAGTTTGCAGTCCTAGTCTCCTTACACACTCACGAGCTGTTGAAAATCATACAGTTGAACTGCCAAATGGTTCCGTTGCCAAAGTCACTCACATTGGACAAGTTGTTTTCTCTCATAATCTTATCCTTGAAAATGTCCTATGTGTGCCGTTCTTTAGGTTGAATTTAATATCTATCAGTAAACTAGCCTATGATTCCTTATATGTCACCATTTTCTTCACCCAATTTTGTGTCATTCAGGACCTTCGCTCGAGGAAGATGATTGGGACAGGAACTGAAAGGGATGGACTTTACTACCTCGACCCATCAAAGAAAGGAACATGCAACAATATTCAAATCGTCTCACCAAAGCTTTGGCACCAACGCCTAGGACACCCATCTCATAAAGCCATTTCGTTATTACCTTTATTTAACAATAAGGCTTGTGATTTGGAAAAATGTTTAATTTGCCCATTGGCCAAACAAACAAGATCACCCTTCCCTTTGAGCTCTATTTCTACCAAATCATGTTTTGAATTATTGCATATTGATATTTGGGGTGGTTATCAAGTTGCTTCTATTTCAGGTGTCAAGTATTTCCTTACCATCGTAGATGACTACACTAGAAGCACTTGGGTTTATTTGATGAAACATAAATCTGACACAAAAGACATTTTAGTCGGATTCATTCAAATGATTGAGACTCAATTCAATACCAAAGTTCAAATCATACGAAGTGACAATGGCCCTGAGTTTAAGCTTGAGCAATTTTATGCTCTCAAAGGCATCATACATCAATCTAGTTGTGTCAACACACCACAACAAAATGGTGTTGCCGAACGTAAACACCGGCATTTGCTCAATGTTGCTCGGGCTTTGCTCTTTCAAGCTTGTTTTGCCAAAACGTTTTTGGGGGGATGCAATCTTAACCTCAGCCTACCTCATCAATAGAACACCCACTCCACTTCTCCAAGGTAAAACACCTTACGAAAAACTGTTTCACAAAGCACCTAACTATTCCCATTTAAAGGTTTTCGGTAGTTTATGTTTTGCTTCTACACACGCCCAAAGGCCCTCTAAATTCGACCCTCGTGCAATCCAATGCATTTTTCTTGGGTATCCTTATGGTCAAAAGGGTTATAAATTGTTTGATATAAAAACACAATAAGACTTTTGTTTCTAGGGATGTTGTTTTTTTTTGAAGATCATTTTCCATTCCAAAATCATACCACTTCCGCTGCCCCATCTCCATCAAACATTACACCCTCACCCATCACGTTTGACTTGACCTCTCCCATTGAGTCGCCCTCAAGCCTTGCACCCGAAGAAATAAACATCACATCTCCCACACTTGCCAACATCACACCACTCTCATCTCCTTTACCTACTACAACTCCACCACCAGATACCTTATCACCACCTTCACATACCCTACACTCTTCCCCACCTCCAACCACTTCATCACCAGACCAACCACCTCCACTCCGTCGTAGCACTCGACCGACCAAAACTTCCACATTTTTGCAGGACTTTCATGTTGAGGTGGCCCTCCCTTCCCGTGTTGCTCCCACATCTTCCACAAGCATGGTCCAGTCATCAGGTACATCTCACCCCATATCTTGTTATTTATCTTATGACCATGTATCCCCCACTCACAAAACCTTTCTCACCACCCTCACCATTATCAAAGAACCCACCAGTTTTTCGCAGGCTGTTCAGGATCCAAAATGGCGTGACGCCATGCAAAAAGAGATTGTTGCCCTTCATGACAATCGCACTTGGACTCTTGTGCCCTTACCACCTCACAAACATCCCATCGGTTGCAAATGGATCTATAAGGTGAAGCTTAAACCTGACGGCAGTGTTGAACGCTACAAAGCTCGTCTCGTTGCTAAAGGCTACAGTCAAATTGAGGGGCTTGATTATCGGGAAACTTTTGCTCCAGTTGCCAAGCTCACCACCGTCCGCGTCCTCCTGAGTATTGCCTCCATACGAGGCTGGCATCTTCATCAACTTGATGTGAACAACGCATTTTTGCATGGTGACTTATACGAGGAGGTTTATATGTCCCTGCCTCCTGGGTTCGGACGAAAGGGGGAGACACGAGTATGCAAATTACACAAATCCATTTATGGTTTAAAACAGGCCTCGAGACAATGGTTTATCAAGTTGTCTAGTGCTCTCAAGACTGCTGGTTTTCATCAATCATGGTCAGATTACTCATTGTTCGTCCGAAACCGTCAAGGCAGTTTCATAGCATTACTTGTGTATGTTGATGACGTGATACTTGCAGGTAACAATTTGAGAGAAATTGAAGAGACTAAACTCTTCCTTTCCCAACATTTTTAAACTAAAGGATTTGGGAAAACTCAAATACTTTTTGGGGATAGAAGTTGCAAGATCTAAACAAGGGATTGCCTTGTGCCAACGCAAATATGCATTGGAGATACTAGAAGATGCTGGGTTCCTTGGTGCGAAGCCCTCACGATTACCAATGGAACCAAACCTGTCCCTTACACAAACTGATGGGACGCTCCTACATGATCCTTCTTCATACAGGCGACTTGTAGGGAGGCTGATTTACTTAACCATCACGCGGCCTGACCTGACTTATGTGGTTAATATGTTGAGTCAATTCATGGACAAGCCACGACAACCACACCTTGAAGCGGTGCATAAGGTTCTCAGGTACATCAAACAATCTCCTGGACATGGAATTCTTTTGCCTTCTACAGGTTCACTACAATTACAAGCTTTTTGTGATGCTGATTGGGCTCGGTGTAAAGACACTAGAAGGTCAATAACCGGTTATTGTATCTTCCTTGGACAAGCACCGATATCTTGGAAAACGAAGAAACAAAGCACAATATCTCGTTCTAGTGCAGAGGCAGAATACCGTTCTATGGCTACTACTTGTTGTGAAGTTATATGGCTAAGAAACATTTTGAAGGACTTGCAAGTAAATCATGCACAACCAGTCACAATGTTTTGTGATAATCAAGCTGCCATGCACATTGCTTCGAACCCAGTGTTTCATGAACGAACGAAGCATATAGAGATAGACTGTCACTTAGTACGTGAGAAGATTCAAATGGGAATGGTGCAAACAACTTACATACGGACCTCGAATCAACCTGCACTTGTTCACCAAACCACTAAGCTCGGCACAATTTGAGGTCTTAATTAGCAAGTTGGGTGTCATCGACATCCACACTCCAACTTGAGGGGGAGTGTTAAAATGCATGAAATAAACATGTTGGAATAATGGTGTTGGATGACTAGTGAAATTAGGCTAGTCAACTTTCTTGTTCAAAGTTAGGCAAGTTAGGTTTCTTGTTCAAAGTTAGGCAAGTTAGGTTAATCAAGCAAATATACATCAAAATTCAATAGTAAATAATCTCATCTTACTTTCCAAAATTGGATTCTTTCTCGTGAACCATTCAATCCAAATATACCCGCGATTCCATAGCTAATTTGATAATAAGTCGTGATTTATTTGTAATAATATACAATTTGGTGGGAAATAATAGAAGGAAATTCCTTTTTTATGTATGAAATAAGAACCCCTCTTGAGGAAATGAAATTAAAAATAGCCGTGCTAATTTGGAATTTACCATATGGGGGTAACGTACGTTGAATGAATTCATTAGGTCCAAGTTGCCGTGTAAATTTCATGGCTATATTAGTATGTATGAAAAGGTTTACCTACACTACATGCACATGGGATATAACGCATTCCATCTAATAGTCTACCCAATTTGACCATACAAAACTTGATTATTATTTGAATAAAAAATTATAATTTTGTATTATAAAGGGATTCAGATTATCGTTTAGTACTACAATCTAATTGTAATTATTTTTACTTGTAAGTAGAGATTATATGTTCGAAGTTCGAACCCAAATCCGCCCATGTCCAATTTGACTTCAAACCCGATTGAGCGGGTTAGAATGAAGTAAAACCTGCCCAAACCCAACCCGACCTCAACCAGATTATTTATTGTGTTAGGTTGGGTTGATGTTTTGCCCCCTCCATGTCAACCCAAACCCAACCCGATTTCTAGCCCGAATTGCTCATGCACAGATTACCCATCCCACTTCTTATTATACAAGCTAGATGTTTGGGAGAGCTGTACTTGAAGTTTGTTGTTTGCTTTTCATTTGAACAAACGAAATTATTGCTTTTATGTTTTTATTTTTTTGGTTAAAATGGTGGTATTGTTTTGTCATTTAATTTGAACTTTAGAAACGCGTTCCACACTATTTGGTTTATTTTTCATATGGATGGTGATGTGTAAAATTGAATTTTAAATAGTTTTGTGGTATTTTGTTCAAAATTTGAGACTTGTCTTACAAAATAATGTGTTACAAGATTGAATTTGATAAAATTAGACAAACCCGAACCCAACTTAAACTGGAACCCGAATAAAATTGCATGACCCAAATCCGAATTAAGAATGTTGAGTTAG